AAGTGGCGACATGTTGGCTAAAGGTGACAGTCTTTAGTTAAAAGTGGTGATGTGTTGGCTAAAAGTGGCAACATGTTGGCTAAAGGTGACAATGTCTTTAGCTAAAAGTGGCGACGGGTTTCATTTAGCCTTTATTTATACAGGTAGTCTTACTGAGCCACGAGAACTAATTTTCAACAGAGACCTGTTTAGGGAGCAGATGGTGATTAAGGGCCTTGCTCATGGGCCCAGAGTGGGGCGAATGAGGGTGGGGGCAGGTGTGGATTCTTCATCTACCCCACCCACATTTTTGATGTTGTCGGTACCGGGGCTTGAACCGGCAATCTTCCGATCACAGACCCACCTTCTCCAATCTTTGCGCCACCACTCCCCCTAAAGTACTCGGGTTGGTTAAAAGTGGCGACGTGTTAGCTAAAAGTGGCCACACATGTTAGCTAAAAGTGGCCACACATGTTAGCTAAAAGTGGCCACACGTGTTGGCTAAAAGTGGCCACACATGTTAGCTAAAAGTGACCACACATGGTAACTAAAAGGGACCACACATGTTAGCTAAAGGTGACAACATGTTGGCTAAAGGTAACAACGTGTTGGCTAAAAGTGGCCACACATGTTGGCTAAAAGTGGCCACACATGTTAGCTAAAAGTGGTCACACATGTTGGCTAACAGTGACCACACGTTAGCTAAAAGTGACCACACATGTTTGCTAAAAGTGGCCACACATGTTAGCTAAAAGTGGTCACACATGTTAGCTAAAAGTGATCACACATGTTAGCTAAAAGTGGCCACACATGTTAGCTAAAAGTGGCCACACGTGTTAGCTAAAGGTGACAACATGTTGGCTAAAGGTGACGTGTTAGCTGAAATTGGCCACACATGTTAGCTAAAGGTGACAACATGTTGGCTAAAGGTGACAACATGTTAGATAAAAGTGGTGACGTGTTGGCTAAAAGTGGTCACACATGCTAGCTAAAGGTGACGGCATGTTGGCTAAAGGTGACAACATGTTGGCTAAAGGTGACAACATGTTAGATAAAAGTGGCCACACATGTTAGCTAAAGGTGACAACATGTTGGCTAAAGGTGACGACGTGTTGGCTAAAAGTGGTGACGTGTTAGATAAAAGTGGCCACACATGTTAGCTAAAGGTGACAACATGTTAGCTAAGAGTGGCAACGTGTTAGCTAAAAGTGGCGACATGTTGGCTAAAGGTGACAACATGTTGGCTAAAAGTGGCCACACATGTTGGCTAAAAGTGGCCACACATGTTGGCTACAAGTGGTGACATGTTGGCTAAAGGTGACAACATGTTAGCTAAAAGTGGTGACATGTTGGCGAACCAAAAAGTTAGTTAAAAGTTGCAAAATGCTGACTGAAAGTAGCATGCTGTGAAAGTAGCAAAATGTTGGCCAAAGTAGCAAAATGGTAATTATAAGTAGCAAGATGTTTGTTAAAAGTAGTAAAATGCTAGTTAATGGCAAAAAATAGCTAAATGCAGCATAAAAGTAACAGTGTAACAGAACACCAGCTAAAAATAGTAAAACATTAGCTAAATGCTAAAAGTAACAAAATGCTACTTAAATAAAAGTCAAGCTGAAAGCTAAAAGTAGCAAAAGGCTAGCTTAAAATGGCAAAAGACTATTTAAAAGTAGCATAGGAAGTTGAAAACAAAGGAAATGTGTTGAAGTAGATATTAAAGAGAAAAATGTTTTTAAAGGATTTGAAGAGAAAATCTGAATCAGAATAAACCTTATTGGCATTAAAATGTATTTGTATGGAGAAAGTTTTATTAAGTTAAATATTCTAAAAAGCTAAAAGTTACATAAATCAAAAGCCATAGCACCCATCTTCTGAATGAGCTTAACGTTTTGATATATGGACGTCTAAATCGGCACAAAGTATTTAGAAGTAGTTTGAGTTAAACGTGTTCCTGAAGCCTTGATGGTCATAAATGGAATCAGTGTTGGGTTTTACCTAGAGAGGGCAGTGTGCTCCCTCTCTGGCTACTGGACAGCTTTGGCCTCGTTAAAGACAAGGCTCCTGCCAGTGCAGAGCAAGGCCGAGGGCTAAAAATAACCTAAGTGCTGTTCAGGGGACAGACCATGAATTATATGCAGGCCTAAGAAAGGTAAAGTAAGGCAAAGGAAAAAAAGAGAGTGTGGTGATAAGAGAAGCAGATGGGTTTTATTTAGGCTGTCTGTTAATGTTACTTTACAAAAAAGAGAAACTACTTACTGCCTACAGGCTGATATTAACACACAAAATGGTTTATGAGTGTGCAAAGACATGTCATTGTGACTTAAAGTGGAGTGACAGGCATGAGAGACCTTTTAGGCAACAGAAAATAGTCTAGATTTAGTGCTCTGATAAGAATAGTTCTCATTTTTTGAGGACAATAAGCAAAACTTATAGTCTGGATTTACTTTTTTAAGAGCAGAGTTTCTCATTTTCACACTTGGATATTGTTCTGTTGCAGTCACAAATACAAAAAAAAAAATTTAGGGGCATCAACCAAAACAGCCCAACAAGAATTTGGGTCTTGAGAACTCTGAGCCCTGCCTCAACTCTTACTGGTCTCCTCTTTCACAATACATTGGGTTGAGAAGAACCTCAGTGGTTGTTCCATCACTTGATTTTCTATATTGAAGTCAGCATTCCCTGGTTCCTGCTTTAAACCGTGTAGGTGAAGTGCATACTACAAGTACCCCCTGATAGTTCGCCAAAATCACAGAGGCTCACCAAAACCACAGCTTCAGTTTCCTTCACATGCAAGTTTGTGCCAAGCTTAGGTACGCTTGGCTTTCTGATACCTGTCAGCTGCTTCTGGAGTCTCACAAACTAACCAGGCTCTGCAGGACTCTGGAGGACCATCCTCATATATACTTGGGATAACTCTGTTTGGTCAACAAAGCATGGAGGTATACAGTAAGCTCAGCTCTGCTAGCCACCTATCACCCTCTGGAGTTGAAAAGAGTCAAGCCCTTAACCAGATGATTAGTTTTAGGGGTGGTTTAGGTGAGTTTACCTATATCTAACGGGTATCTTCCAAACTCCCACCAAGCTTGGACTCTTCACTGCTAAAGTGGCATCCTGTGTCCTTAAGTCGAGTTGAAGCAAACAGGAATTGTATCGCCAAGGCCTTTGCCACAGAATATGACTCGGCCCACTATTTACAAGTTTTTTATGGTGACTCCTGCAGGTAGTGGATCCACAGGAGGATGGTCCAATGTAACATGTTTGGTCTGGGACTAGGCCTTGGCCCCAGGCCTTCAGTGACGAGCCTCACCACTGACCATGGCTCAGAAGTGAGGACATTTTATCCATGATTTAAGCCCAAGTCTCTTGTCTCAAGTCTTGCTTGGTCTCTATGTTTTCAAGCCTTTGTCAGGGTTACTGAACCACACTTAGTTTGGTCACTTGGAACCAATTTGCCTTGGGAGACCCTACCAGGGACAAACTGACCCAGAAAATATAGATTTTTGATGTCCTTGGAACATTCAGACCCCTATGCCTCAATTTGGTGCTCTACATCAAGAGGAGATACCCAAGTGGTTCGAACTTCTAGTTAGGTTGCGTCCTGGAAACCTCCCTGTGGAGGTGTTTCAGGCATGTCTTTCTGGGAGGAGACCCTGAGACTGACCCAGGACACACCAGAGATATTAAATCTCTAATGGTCAGGGAACGCCTTGGGGTCCCCGGTCTTGGAGGTAGCTGGAGAGAGGATGATCTGGGCTTTTTTTCTAAGGCTGCTGCAACTCGGACCATAAGCAAATCCTAATTGGTTAATTCCAGCTCCTACTCATTTGTGTTGCTGGGATAAGATTTTGCTCTAATTGTAACTGATTGTCTTTGAATCAATAAGAACTAACCAGTTTTCTCCTCACAGCGAATACTACTTCAGCATCCACAACTTGGAGCGAGACTTCTTCTTGAGGAGAAAGATGGACGCACAAGGCTTCCTCCCCGTCTCCCTCATCGCCGGCTTCCACAGAGTTCAGGCTCTAACTACAGATATCAGCCTCATCATAGAGGTAATATCACCTTATTTTGTGAATACTGATTCAGCACTTAAAACTAATTATGTATGCTTTTTGGAATCAAACAACTTCTGTTTACTTTATGTACTATTTCAAAACACTCAGCTCATTCAAAAAAAAGAAAGCTCTGACTTTTGTTTTTGTAAATTTGATACTTTTCAAAGTATTTGACTATTTAAAAGAACAATCCCAATTAAAATACCTTGAGATCTGTTCAAATCCTTCAAAATGTTGTTCTCATTGAAATCTACTTCATATTTCTGCTTACGCTACTACTGTTAATGCTAATTTTACTCATGATAAATGTGTAAATTCTGCTACTGATAATCTTCCAACTAAAACTACTGTACTATGGCTTCTACTAGTCCTGCTAATGCTAATTCTAATTCTGCTGCTAAACCCTACTGATGATGCTAATTTCACTGAAGCTAATTCAACTACTGTTAATAACGTTATACTAATGCCAACTATAGCTAAAGAGAGTTCTACTAATGACAATGTCAAATGTTGGTAATGCTGACAATGCTAATGCTAATTCAACTAATGTATTTTAATTTAAAGCGAATCCTCTGCAAGGTTTAGCTAGTCTATTTCTGCTTTTAGCTAACATTTTACTACCTTTAATTATCCTTTTGCTGCTTCAAGCTAAAATTTACTACATTTAGGTTTTTTTGCTGCTATAGGTGAGCATTTTGCTACATTTAGCTAGCCATTTGTGTTTGTAGCTAGCATTTTTCCACATTTGGTTATCCTTGTGCTGCTTTAAGCTAAAATTTGGCTACATTTAGTTATCCTTTTGTTGCTTTAAGCTAGAATTGGCCTACATTTTGTTATCCTTTTGCTGCTTTAGGTTAGCATTTTTCTAGATTTAGTTATCCTTATGCTGCTTTAAGCTAGCATTTTGCTACATTTAGTTATTCTTTTGCTGCTTTAGGCTAGCTTTTTTGCTACATTTAGCTAGCTTTTTGCCATTTTAGCTAGCATTTTGCACATTTAGTTATCCTTGTGCTGCTTTAAGCTAGCATACTTTTGCTTTTTTACATTGGCATTTTGCTACATTTTCAGCTTCTTCAGCTAATTTCAACAGTCAGAACACGACATTAGCATTTTGCAGAAATCTTCCTGCTCTCTGGGAATCAGGACCTCCTGACTCTTTTTGCCTCTGCAGGCTTTGAAAAACAGTACAGAAGTAGAGGTGGTGGATGATAAGATTCGCTGTAAAACAAATCCCGAGAGCTGGCCCATCCCCACTCCCTCAGTGGTGGGTTCCCCTCGCACAGACTTCTCCCAGCTCATCAACTGTCCTGAGTTTGTTCCCCGGCAGAACCTCGTCTCCTCGAACACCGGTCAGTATTCAACTATTCTAACGCCAAGAGTGATAGAGCAACAGATCATATGTTAACATGAACAATAAAGGCCTGACTGTTTGTATGATTGTGTATTTTTTAGCTTCATTGCCCATGACTGCGCCTCCTCTCGAGTCAGTGCAGCCTGAGACTTTGGTTAAACTCGTCCCCTCCAAGCAGGAGTCTCTTTCAACAACAGATGAATCCAAAGACCCCCCAGCCCTCAAACCTGATCCCGACGCCTGGATCCAGGTGGAGAAACGCCACCGACAGGCCTCTGGAAAACCAAAGGTAGGGATGGAGGACAGGGAAGAAGTTGGAGCTTCTTAAAGACCAAATAAATGTAACATGTACAAATAATCTGTCTATATATACCCTCTAACAATATGTGAACACATTTTGGCTCCTAAAAAAACATTAAGCCAATTTGCAACTCATTTATCACATGTTTGCGTTCAATTTTATTTTTAATTAGTAAATAAAAACCTACAAGTTATTTTATCATCATCTACACAAACTAAGCTTTCAAGCCTGTTTGATTACAAGACAAGACAGCGTCAGCTTTCGAGTATATTGTTGATTATCAGCTGCTTATCTAAGTTTAGTATAAAGATCCTCATTACGTGGAATTATAAGTTTTTTTGTTTGTTTTAAGATGTTGTACAGTTTATATAGTTTTACTGCAAAAGTCAAAATTGTTGACAGGGATCTCAAACAAGCAAGAGAGAGAAAAGTCATTAACTTTCCAAAATGATCTTCATTTTGAGCTCATAAAAGACGTCAAAATAACAGCAACATAGGAAAGTCAATACTGGAGGAAACTTTAAATAGTGGCCATTCTGACACAAGAAATAAACTAATTTAAAAAATGCCACTAAAAACAAAAAACATCCATCCATCCATTATCTTTACCCGTTTATTCCATTTTGGGTCACGGGGGTCGCTGGTGCTCATGTCCAGCAATCACTGTGCGAGGGGCGGGGTACACCCCGGACAGGTCGCAAGTCCATCACAGGGCCACATGGAGACAAACAACCATGCACTCTCACTCACACCTAGGGACAATTTAGAGTTACCAATTAGCCTAACATGCATGTTTTTGGTCTGTGGGAGGAAACCGGAGTACCCGGAGAAAACCCACGCATGCACGGAGAGAACATGCAAACTCCACCCAGAAGGCTCCTGGACCGGGGTTTGAACCAGGGACCTGTTCGCTGAGAGGCAGCAGCTCTACCAGTTGCGCCACCGTGCTGCCCCCAAAAAAACATCAAAACTTATAAACTGCTTTTCACAGTCAAGACTAGATGACTAAAGAATTGAATGGCCCAACGGCTATGATCCTTTTTCTAGCTGATCTTTGCAGAGGAACTTTTAATTAAAAAAACAAACAAGTTAACTCATTAAAAATGATTAAATAAATTCCTGCAAGATTTTACAAAGAAAGATAACCAAATGTGTGCACTCCAAATAGTCAGTCACAGGCTTAAACTTTACGAAAAACGACAATTGTATGACACTTAAAGGTATAAATGTCCACTTATTTATTATTTAACTTATTTAGACTTGTGTATAATCAAAAATGCGTAACGAGACATTAACAAAAAGCAAAAGTTACATGAATTACTTTAAAAACCACTTTAAATCACTAAGAAAATACTTGTGATATCATTCCTGTCTGCAGTTATTTGACACCTTTATGTTCCCTGTTTGCATCAGGCGGAAGGCAAGTCGCCTCTCCCGAGCCACCAGGCTCCTCCACAGGCAGAACTGGACCAGGAGGAGCTGGACTTCATGTTTGACGAGGAGATGGAACAGCTGGCGCCCAGGAAGAATAAGTTCACAGACTGGTCGGACGAGGACGACTCTGACTACGAGTTGGATGACCAGGACGTCAACAAGATCCTGATCGTCACGCAGACCCCGCCGTACGTTCGCAAGCATCCCGGTGGTGACCGCACGGGAAGTTACGAGTCCAGGGCCAAGATCACAGCGGACCTGGCCAAAGCCATCAACGATGGGCTGTACTACTATGAGCAGGACCTGTGGAAGGGAGAGGAGCAGGTTGAGTTCAGCAAGGTGAGACCAGCATGCCTGAATGGTTCCATTAAATTTATTATAAACGTGTATTTGACTTTTCATAAAGTGAACAGTGCAAGGATGGCATGCTGTATATTTTTATTGCCCTCTGTTGAAGTGCCACTTTAATGGGGTGAAGGGGTTTGAGTACCCCCATGATCCTGAGGCTGTGTTGTTGGGTCATATGTTAGGGGCCCATTGAGCCCAGACTCAAGCTCTTGGCTGGGCCCATCACAACAACGCTACAGAATACTGTCTACTTTGACTGGTAGGGAGAGTAGTCACTAGAAGTAGTTAGGTTTACCTCCACACAACTTAGGTTTTTGAACCAAACTCCTGGAGAGGGACAAAAACTCTGTAGGTAGAGTTTGGGAGACCAAAGGAAGAGGGACTTGTTTTGTGTGAGGAACTGTGGGCCCGGACTGAATGAAATCATTAGAATATTAAGCAGAAGTTTTTTTGAGGGAGATGATCTAGTCTTAGAGAGCAGTCCCACAACTGATTTCTGCTGTCTTGGTCTTACTGGCTGCGACTTTTCAAGACTAATTGGCGAACAGCATTTGCAAGGGAGTCTTCTAAATGTCTTGAAAAGTCCTCAAGGGTTCTCCGTTTCCTTGTGTAGGTCGCAGAGGTTCACTGTCTTGTTGCTGGAACTTTGAACATGTTTGTCGCAGGCGTCTTAAACCTGTCTCAAACCTAACTGTTTAGTTTGCATAATTCCAGAGCCTTATATAGCAAAAAAAAAAAAAGGCTACAGACCTGAATATTCATGTCTAAAATAAACACACTGATGATGTTATTGATATTTATTTAAAAACTGGTTAAAGTCTGGATTACATCATAAATGTTGGTGTTGGTGGCTGCCAAGGTGGGTCCTATGTGGTCAATGAAACATGTCTTCTTCTTCTTCTTTCGGCTTTTCTGTCTTCTGGGGTCGCCACAGCGAACCATCCTCCATCTCACTCTGTCCTCACTCCAACTACCTCCCCGTCCTGTCTATCTGCATCCATACATCTCCTCTGTCTTTTTCCTGGCAGCAGCCTTTCCAACATCCTTCTACCAGTATACCCACTGTCCCTCCTCTGGACATGTCCAAACCATCTCAGTCTGGCCTCTCTACCTTTATCTCCCAATTCTTTAGCCTGTGCTGTACCTCTGATGATCTCATTCCTAATCTTATCCATCCTTGTCACTACTAAGGTGAACCTCAACATCTTCATTTTTGCTACTTCCAGTTTTTTCTCTTGTCTTTTTGTCATGTTCACTGTCTCCAGACTATACAACATAGCTGGTCTCACATCGTGTAAACTTTTCCTTTGATAGTCAAGGAAATATGTGCAAGAGCAGAAATACAATTTTAAAAATATGTAGTCAAACAGACAGAATTTAGTGAGGATTCTTGCAATTTTGAGTCGCCAACAATTCTCCCAATAGTCCAGTGAGCTACTGGTAACTGGGTCTGGTACTTGTATAGGTTTGTGTGAAATTTGTTGCAAAGCTGAACATGTAGTGTAAAGTAACCTTCTGATGTAAACGTGTAATAATAAGATGGCATTTGCTGCATCTTTGTTTCACATTTTTACCTCTCGTCATTTGTAGGAGGTTTTGGTATATCTAGCTCGTTTGAGGCTCAAAGGTTGACATGAAAGTCCTCTCATGTGAGAAATCCTGCACCTGAACACACAAGAACACAGAAAATAAGCACACCAGGGCCAGCTGCGCCGTGTTTTCCACGGTTGTCCAACAGATGTTGGCGTGTTGAGTTCAAAGTCCGTTTGTCGTGTCACTCTGGCAGTGTCAAGTCTTTGGACCGGCGTGTTGCACCGTTATCAGTTCAAACCACCCACCTGATTATCTCTGACGGGAAATGGAGGAATGCCTCGAAGAGTAAAACAGTGCAAAGTTAATGCAAATAAAAGATCATGAAGATTATTAAAGTTTCAGTCGCCTTAAACGTCACAGATTTTTATATAAATATTTATTTTATATCGCTGTTTAAACAGGTTTTTACATTTTGGTTCGTAGTGGACACTAAATTCAAGTTTGACTGCTGTTCTTTGTGTAACGTGCACGTGTTTCTGTTCCCATGAAGGACGTGGAAAACTTCAAGAAGCTGAACGTCATCAGCAAAGATGAGTTTGACACCCTCACGCCTAAAGTGCCGGTCGATCCAAACCAGGAGGTCCCGCCTCCTCCCATGCCAGGTGGGGCTGTGGAGCTGTTGTGTCCCACATTACTGTCATTTGTGACCTGGGCTGCAAAATGAGTCACATTTAGGAACTTTTCAAGACTTTGTTATTGTTATTTTCAAGTTCTCCATCTCAGAAGCTTCAAAGGATCTGTAGTTTGTTGATATTTAGTGATTTATCGCCCAGAAACAAACTAATTTTGTTGAAGAGAACGCCAGAAAACTCCATTATTATTGGTCGGGAGGGGTGTCATTGTGAATTCCAGACCTATATTTCAAAAAGGGATTTCCCAAGCTTTACAATGACTCAAACACAAAGGGATTTCCAGACTCTTTTTTTTTTTTTTCATTTTTAAACAAATGTAAAAGATTAGAATTAAAGGGGTTATTTCTAAAGACATGGAAGGTTTGAAAGCTTTTATTTAAAGGTAGATTATAAAATGTATATACTATTTTAGTTACCATGATCTCTAGATTGTGTGTTTATGGACTCATTTTGCAGCACGAGTCACATATATTGCGTTAATTTTTTATTTCAGAAGGTTACGCACAACGAACATAAGGATTCAAGGTTCTTTATTTGTCATTCCACCACATGTGGTACATGTGGTAGAATGAAATTGTGTACACAGGATCCCATTTACATCCAACAATAAAATGTAAAAGATAAACAGTAATAAGATCTAAGATATGAACTAAGAAAAACTTTAATAAAAATACAATAAGCACTAGTAGCATAGAAACAATACGTCGAACAGCAGCACGAACATGAGTCTGTGTGAGCAGATGAGCACTAATGAAAACAGCAACATGATGTGATTTTTATCACAGTGATTATTCTGGTTAGAGAGTCATGAGTCTAACAGCCTCAGGGTAGAAGCTGTTCCTCAGTCTAGTGGTTCTACACTTGATGCTCCTCAACCTCCTTCCTGAGGGGAGCGGGACAAAAAGTGTGTGTGATGGGTGAGTGGGGTCCTTCATGATGCAGGTGGCCCTCTTCCTGCATCTGGAGGTGTAGATGTCTGTGATGGTGGGGATGCTGACTCCAACAGATAAAATGTCTCCTCCTCAGCAATAAATACAGTGTCCACAAATGCAATAAAATCATAAATCCGATAAACTTTGCTCAATCAGCACTCAAACATCTCAGCTTTGCAAGACCTGAACATACAGTCATAGGGAAAAAAACTCCTTCCTTCAAATCTGTGGTTACTGGAACATAATAAGATGGACTGGTCTTGACCCAGTTCAAAGTTATTCATAGCTGACCTAAAAAAAACAAAAAACTCTTCTATTATTATTTATTAGCCCAAACAAAACTTAAATGGGTGCATATCAGTGTTCATACCAATAGTCAAGCAAGGCGGTGAGCATATGTAGTTGGTCCACACTGGAGCGTTTCCCATAGTGAAACACCGTAGGAAGTTAGAAAAAGAACGCTTCATCAATGATCAGAAGTCATGTTAAAGTATTTAAGATGCATTTCTTGTACATTTTATGGGTTTTCAGTGGATAGCGGCGTAGATCTGGCTCGCTCTTTGCCTACAACGGTCCCAGAGTCACCGAGCACTTGCCAACCTCGAACCCCCAGAACGCCACGCACACCCGGACGCCAGGACCCCAACAAGACGCCGCGCTTTTATCCCGTCATGAAAGAGAGCGCTACCATTGATGGACAGGTGAGTTCCCTCGTCTGAATCCTGTTACCGGTTCGTTAAATTGTTTTTATTGTTGTTTTCTTCTCTGTTTAAACTGCATGAAGTCATAAGAAGCTCAGAAGCATTTACTTGTTTTTTTTTTTTTTTTTGTCAACATTCCAGATGGCGAGGAAAAAGAAGACCCGCCACAGCTCAAACCCCCCACAAGAAGCTCACATCGGCTGGGTGATGGACTCTCGGGAACACCGGTCGCGTTCTGCATCCATCAGGTACCGACAGGACGCCGCGTGAGCGCCGAGCTTAATGCAGAGCATATATGAACACTGAACAAACTTGGCTGAAATTTGTTTGAGAATAAATTATTCGAATCTGTAAAATTTAAAGGAGCAGGAGAGAAGCTAAAATCATCAAAAAGGCAACTAAACGTAAAAATAACTTTGTGTTGCTAAAAGCTAAAATTAACACAATAAATCTAAATGCTAACATAAAAAATAGTGTAGTTAAAATATGACTATTACAATTGGCTAAAGAATGGCTAAAAGCTCAAATGAGCTAAAACTTAACTAAAAGCTAAACTATTGCTAAAAGCTAATCTTAGCAAACCTGTGGCTATAAGCTAAAAGGGGAGAGCATTAGCTAAAGTCTGAATAAAACGGCAGTTTAAAGCTTGCTCAACATTAGCAAAAAGCTAAAATTTTCTAAGCTGTAGCTAAAAGCTAAAATTTTTTAAACTGTAACTAAAAGCTCAAATTACCTACACATATCTAAACACTAATATAATAATAGTGTGGCTAAACAATAGGTGAGTTAAAATTTAGAAGAGTGACTAAGGCCTAAAATTAGCATAACTTACTATTAAATAAAATCAGCAAAACCATAACTAAAAGCTAATCTTGGCAGAACTGTTGCTAAAAGCTAAAGATAGGAAAACATTAGCTAAAAGTTTCAGTTAGCCAAACAGTAGTTAAAAGTTAAACATATCTTAACATTAGCTGAGAGCTATAATTTGCTACAACTTAGCTAAGAGTTAATTAGCTAATCTATTGCTAAATGCTAAGTCTTAGCAAACCTGTGGTTGTAAGCTAAAGGGGGAAAACATAAGCTAAAAACCTTAATAAAACAGTAGTTTAAAGCTTAAACTAGTTCAACACTGGCTAAGAGCTAAAAGTTTCTAAACTGTAGCGAAAAGCTAAAATTGGCAAATCAACACTAATATAGCAATAGTGTGCTAAAGGTAATGTTAACTAAACAATATACGAGTTTAAATTTAGAAGAGTGGCTAAAGTCTAAAATCAGCAAAACCATAACTAAAAGCTCATTTTGGCAGAATTGTTGCTAAAAGCTAAAAATAGGAAAACATTTCATTTAAAAGTTTCAGTTAGCCAAATAGCTAAAAACTAATCAGCTTAATTATGGCTAAGCACTAGAGTTCGCTACAACTTGGCTAAAGACCTAAAATTAGACCAACTTAAAGAAAAATATTAACAATGTTGTGGTTAAAAACTAAATTTTGCTGAACAGCACTTGAGTTTCAATTAGAAAAAAGTGGGTAAAAGGTAACATCAAGATTGGAGCTTAAATGCTAATATTTGCAAATAGGAAGCGAAGAGTTTTTAAAAGCCAACCAACAAATAAAAAAAAAAACATATTATAAAAATGTAATTAGTGTATGTTTACCTAACGGCTAAAAGTAGCATGAGAAGACAAAAACTGAGCAATAACGCTGACGTGAACTTCAGAGAACTTTTGAAAGAGCTGAAAAGACACTGAAGTATGTAAAAACCCGGATGTTTTGTAAATTTTGAGTTTAAGAGGTGCAAATATTAAAAGCTGAAGCTTAATAATCCTGATCGAGCCAAAAGTTTTGATGTATGAATATTGACAATTGTACAAAATATGCAGAAGTGTGTCAGTCTAGTGTGTATTTCTCCTAAAGCTTGCTGTCTCCTCACCTCTCCATCTTTTTCCTCTGTTGTTTGTTGTGCAGCAGCTCCAACGCCTCTCCGTCAGAAGGAGCTCCTCTGGCTGGAAGCTTCGGCTGCACCCCCCAGTCTCTGCCCAAATTTTGGCATCCATCCCACGAGCTGCTTCGGGACAATGGCTTCACTCAGCAGGGCTACCACAAGTACCGCCGACGGTGCCTTAACGGTACGGAGACGAAAAGCTGAGACTCTGAAAGATTTATAAAGAGAAACGCACGTCAGCCGTTTTAATCTTAACCAGTATATCTTTTTTTTTTTTTTTTTTTTTTCATCTACCAGAGAGGAAACGGTTGGGGATCGGCCAGTCTCAGGAGATGAACACTCTTTTCAGATTTTGGTCCTTTTTCCTCCGGGACAACTTCAACAGGAGGATGTACGAAGAGTTTAAACAGTTTGCTCTGGAAGACGCCAAGGAAAACTACAGGTCAGAGAAAAATTCAGTTAGATCTGTACGATCAGACGCGTGCCGGGGGAAAAGGAGTCTGCCCTCACTGCAGCGTACAAGTGTGTGTGTTAACACAACGTCAAGACGGAAAGACATCAGCAATGACCTCAGAGAAGAAGATGATCAATCTGGATGGGATCAAAGGTCATTTGAGGTCCATCGTTCTACAGAGAAAGATTATTAAAAAGTAGAATACTTACTGACAGCTGACAGACTTCTCAGCAGATTCACCCTGAAGGTCAGACTGTGCAATGACTCTACAGGCCTCAGTCAGCAGTTCAAAGGTCATGACCTCTCTAAAAATAACATGTCAGCACGACTTAGGTTTAGAAAGTTTAATCTGAAGGAACCCCAATACTTCTGGACCAGAACTAGACCAGAGGAAAGATGTTTACCCAGAATGCACTGCAGCAAACAGCTCCCCCCAACTGTCAGCACAGTGGTGGAGGAATGATGGTTTGTGCTCCTTGTAGTCGTGGACCAAGAACTCCTCTGTAGATCAAAGGGTTTTGGAGTCAAATGAGTCCATCTGTCCAACTGCTCAAGCTTGGACTGAACTGGGTCCAACAGAACCATGATCCCAAACACAGCAGCCGATCTACAACAGAACGGGTTAGAAAGAAAACAAAAACAAAATGCAAGGTGCTTCAATCGTCCAGTCAGAGTCCAGAACCTCAACTTGACTGAAACGCTGTGGTGGACCTTCAGAGAGCTGAACAGAAACCAATGATGGGAAGAAGAGTGGTCCAAAAGTCCTCCACAACCACAACCGAGACTGATACGGAAAACCACTGAGGGTTCTGGGACTGAAGGAGGTTCTGGATCATCAGTTTTTCACTCACAGCTTTAACTTTTTGTTTTAAAAATAACTCTTAACTTGACGTCCAGATGTGTAAAACCCCAGAACCGAAAGAGGGTGGACTTTCTTTTCCCCCCATGATTGTATATCACATAAAACTAAATCCAGAACTTTCCTCAAGTCCAAAAAAAACCAAAACTCCTGCATCAGATTAATGCAGGGACATCTGTTTGTTTCATCCTCAGGTATGGACTGGAGTGCCTGTTTAGATACTACAGCTACGGTTTGGAGAAAAGGTTCAGGCTAGATCTGTTCAAAGACTTCCAAGAGGAGACCCAGAAGGACTTCGAGAAAGGTACCCCAGACTTCAAAACAAAAATCGATATCACGTTAGTGGTAGCTGTTTGATGACTGAACCTGTTCTAGCTTATCTTAATCCAAAGGTTTTTAATGTATTCATCCACCATTTTAATTTAGTCTTAAGTTTTGTTGATAAAAATGCAGGTTTTCATTGACTTATTTAAAAGTTGTTTTCTTTTCAATTAAGAATATTAGTGGGGCCGGACGGAGATTGCCCAAGGGCCACTTTTGGCCCTCGGGCCGTATGTTGCCCTCCTCCGTTTTAGACGATCATTTGGTTTCTTGTGAGTTGTCTCGATTTGTTTCTCTCCAGGTCAGCTGTATGGACTGGAGAAGTTCTGGGCCTTCCTGAAATATTCAAAAATAAAGAACCAGCCCATCGACCCGAAGCTGCAGGAGCACCTGTCCAAGTTCAAGAACCTGGAGGACTTCAGGGTGTTGGTGAGTGCCGGGTGTTTTAATCAATCATGTCTTTTTAGCAAATTAAAAGAAATTATTTTAATTCACTGATTATTATTTATCATGGGGATGAACGATGGTGTGTTCATCCACCTGTGTGTTAGCAAAATATCTCGTGAACCACCAAGTAACACTCATAAAGTAATCGTACAACTTAGGGTTAAACTCCGTCACCATACCAACACATACTTGGCTCTGACTCGGTCACTTTCATAGATACTGAGCTATAATTAGGTGTGGCAGTAGCTGAGAGTCATCCTCAGTGCAGACTCTGAGTGCTAGCAGATCGAACCAAGTCATTGTTCGAGTCTTTGTGTGCGAGGCGGCAGGTGATATGCGTTAAACGATGCACAAGCCTAAGTTTTAAGTTAAACCTTATGATCCGTTAGAGCTCAGAGCGAGCTGTGACGATGACTCTCAGCTACTACCACACCAGACTTTAGCTCATTGTCTGTAGAAATGACTGCGTTGTGGACGTTTTTTTTTTTTTTTTTTTCTTCAAGGTCCGTTATCTGTGGCGGCCATCTTGAATCAAGTTAATTTCAAAAGATGATTGGTTGTTGATGCAGACTTAATCAAATCAGTTCAATGGATATTTTGCTAACAGATAAACTGATACGAGTAGTGACATGATCACCCACCTTTCATGGCAGTAATAAACCAGGCCAGGTGTGATTCTAAGTTTTCTTGTGTCTGCAGCCTCCACCCGGAGAGGAGGGAGGCCGGAGGAGACACCACTCGTCCTCCGGCGGGGACGAGGGAAGACGACGTCGACAGTCTTCCAACGTGGCATCAAAGCAGGCCTCCAAGACCTCCAACGCCGCCGCCGCCGGCTCCTCATCCGCTGCTGCAACCAAAGACGCCACCGAGAAAACACTGACCGCCCGCGGGAAGAAGTCCGACCCCCGAGGTGGGAAGGAGGACCGCGGAGACCAGATCAAATGAAGCGTCGTCCTCCGGGTGCGAGTATGAGCAGAAGGTTTCCAGAGCAAAGCAGCTCGACTGGTTTCAGGGTCAAACTGGACCGTTTGACTTAATTTCATGGCTTTTATCGGTGACAACCCGTTAAAACAAAAATGCCGTTTATCTTTCAGATGCCAAACTCTTGGGGTAAATTGTTCGCTGTGAGCGGAGAGCTGTTAAACCGCAGCCGCAATTTTACCAAAATAAGAGCTCATCTTTTTGTGCCTTGGATCTTCATCATCAGTGTGACTAAATTCAACTTTTAAATTTTTTTAAAAGTCTTCCTAATTCTTTCAGGGTTCGATCATATCTTAACATGACGACACTTGTGTGAGTTTTAGTTTTTGACAATCAGGTTTGCAGCTGCAGTCGTAGATTTCTGAACGATCGACCCCGAAGCTTCTCCGCTGACTGCCAAACAGTGCAGCTATACAACAAAAATAATGTTTTTCTTTTATTTAAAAACTTTTTAAAAATTCTGGTAATTTTCCTTCTTACGCCCCGAGGTAGATAATTTATTATTCATTTACCTGATTGATGCAATAGTCTTAGGCAATCGCTGCATTTTTAATGGTTTTGCTGTTGAATTTAATCGAAATGCAATTTGTTTTTGGCTGGAATTATGGGTGTTAACTAGCGTCACAGAACTATAATTTTTCTTCACTGGACTAAAGAGGATTTTAGAGTTAAAATTGAAAAAGCAAAAAATGTAAATATTATAAAAAATGATTTGCTATTAGATCTATTAATTTGATTTTAGGAAGTGATTTGTTTTCTCAGCAGTGTTTTGAGTGTAATGCATGTTGATGAATTGTAAAATACACAGACAAAAAAAAAGATAAAATAACTGATTGTATGAAGCTGTGTTTGCGTGTGTTTATTTTGATTCTCCTTCCTTCACGGTTTGGTATTTCATGGCTTCAATGAGGGCGAGTCCTCCAGCGGGTTCGACCGGTTTCTGTTCCCAGCCGATTTAAAAGCTCAAGTTGTTTTTGTTTCGGCAGCTGCAGAGTTTTAGACCATCTTAAAAAAGGTAAAGTTGCCGTTTGGGTCAAACTTTGAAAATAATCAATGTTCAGTGCCTTGTGCTTGTTTGGAATCAGTCTCAGCTACTAGCACACCAAATTTTACTTCAGTATTTATAAAATTGACTGAGTTGGAACCATTTTTGTGTTTACTACATTCAGTCAGCTGTGGAGGCCATCTTGAATCAAAAGCTAGTGAGTGAATCACCTGCACGTTTATTAAAATCTCTCGTGGCTTAAGATATTTTGCTGACAGGACAAAATATCACTTGTATGTGAGCGGTGGTGTATAATTGAAACCAGTGAAGCAAAATTTAAACCCCAAGTTGAGAGTAATTTTGTGCGTATTCCCCTCTAAAATGTGCATTTTGTGCAGAACACTAATAAAGCTTTAGTTATATTGGTAAAAATTAAGATAAATTCCAAAAGCACACATTTTAGTCCTCATTTAAGCATCACTAATTCACACTAATGGATATCATTGAATAATTTGCTTTTTGTTTTTCTGAGTTCGGGCAAGTGGATGAAAAAGTACCAGCTGCTACATGTAAAATATTTAAATTAGTCACATGATGCGTTAGTGCTTGGAGCATGTGTTGAGGATGACTCGGCTACTACCACACCAAATTTAAGTTTGATATCTAAAATTAACGGAGTTGGAGGCATTTTAAGTTTATGAGCTCAAACCAGGTTGACTAAAAGTTTATCGATTGCATTTGTACTGATTGACTTTCATTAAAATCTGTCCACTAGTTCTTTGGATTTTTTTGCTGACATTAGCGTTTACTTGGTCATTTGTCTAATTGCATCCAGCATTAAAAATGATTTCTAAAAGAAAGTAGCTAACTTATTTAACATTTCTTTTTCACTTTTATTTAAAACAGTATGTTGTTGACATAAAACACTTCTGTTTTATAAAACTTGAAATAAATAACTTGTAATAAATAACACTTTCATATTTTATTTTTCAAAATGGCCCTTACTGGCTCTACTACGTTTTTTGCTGAGAAGTTTGCTGCCTTCACGTGTTTCACGTAAACATTAGCACGGCATGATAGGCGGTTTTATCTATATGCATTCGTATATATTTTGTTTCTGGTCACAGTTTACCTACATGTCTTTGATGTCATTTTGTTTAACTAAGCTAGTTATTTACGTGCTTTTCTCTAATTTCGGGTAAGACGTGTCTTCGGAATGCGCTGCACTCACTCAACTGGTGATTTTCTCGATCCCGACAGAACCTGAACGCAGCACTTTGCCAGGGGCGGGTAGGCGCTAACCGTGCAGCATGGCGGACGATGGAGACAGTTCAAGCGGACCAGTTGAGTCAAGGGGCGGGCAGGGATCATTGGAGGAGTCGGACGGGCTCGGCTTGGGCGGAATGCTGCTGAATATCAGCATTTTGGTTCTGGTGATGGTCGTTTGCATTGCGGTGTACCGGCGGTGGGGCAGGCGGCTCGGCGCCGACGCGGCCCACGGCGACGGGGCCTCGACGCTCCCCAAGATGCGAAGACGGGACTTCACTTTGGAGCAGCTGCGGGAGTACGACGGGCTCCAGAACCCCCGTATTCTCATGGCTGTCAACATGAAAGTTTTCGACGTGACCAGCGGCAAAAAGTTTTATGGGAAAGGTGAGCGAGAGGACCAAATTACGGGGTTAGCTGACACGTTGGCGCCTGTGGTGATTCGGCTTGGACCAGAATTCGAGCGTTAGCTCGGCTTTGTGTTGAATGGGATTAGCTTGCTTGCTAACGGCGACAACCGTAGCGATGAGAGCAGATCCAAACGTAATATTTATGTACAGTAAACCCGTGGCACTTTTAAATTAAAGTTGTTTTGTACTGAAGTGTTGTCATATAATATTTTATTGTGCTAACGCTAACAAGCTAGCCTGTTGACATGCCCGTGTAGTCCGGCTGTGTTCTTGACCCGCCGCTTGTTTTCAGTAGCACACCCCCCTCTTAAGGAAAAGCCCATTTAAATTTATCTTACAACTTAAATGACTATAACTTATTTTACATAAATTATAAATTATTTATATAACTTCATGTCTGATTCAGAGTTCACTATGACGTGAAAAATAAACTTAAGGCTTCCAACCAACAATTAGCATAGACGCTAACTTAACGTTGAAAACGTCTAAGAAAAGCTAACACGATTAGCGTCGTGTTCATCCTATGGATCAAACGTTTTGAAGTCAGTGTTGAGAAAAATTGAACTAATGTTTACAAGCATATCTATAGCATCGGTTGAATGTGTTAAAACGGATGTTTATTTTATTTTTGTTTTATGTTTGACATCAGAATTCTCAGTGGGCGGGGTCGACCTCAGAGTGGGAGGCTCCTCCCGTAATGGGCGGGTTTAAATCGTGGGACGTGATTGGTCAATATAAGCGCTAGCTTACATTAGCTAAAGCTTATGCTAATAGCAAGAAGCTAGATAATAAATTGATTCCAGTATTTATTTATTTATTTATGTGTAGATGTTGGCACAAGTGTTTTGAGATTTTTTTTTAGTGTAATATTTATTTTAATCGTTTTTTTATTGACTTTGCAATTAGAAGATAATCACACTAGCTATTTTTTTAAATAACAAACAGTAACACTTTTATAAAGCCTTCCTGCCATTAAAAAACAGATTGTGTTTTAGCAGTGCATTGAACATTTTGTTGCAATCAACATGGCCAAGTTGCTGTTTATATTTCAATAAGCTATCAGTACTAGATCATCTTACAAGCTATTTAATGAATCATCTGGTGGATATAATTATTATTTTTTTTTTGCTTCAGGCCTTCTTTACTTTGACTGTTTTGTGCGTTTGTTTTTTCTCTCAGATGGTCCTTATGGCATTTTCGCTGGCCGGGATGCTTCTAGGGGCCTCGCCACTTTCTGCTTGGAGAAAAATGCCCTTAGGGACGAGTACGACGACTTGTCGGACCTCACCGCTGTACAGATGGAGAGTGTGAGGGAATGGGAAATGCAGTTTATGGGTAGGATTTTTAAGTCTGTTTGACTGTGACTTTTGGGCCAATTAGTTGGTAGTTTCCAGTTTAAAGATTTTAGTCATTTAGGCTGCTTTTATAGATAAATGCATGTGATATTTGGCAAAAAGGTTGTGCTTTTTAGGCTAAAACACAACAAGTGGACAGTGATTATTTGATTTCTCTTTAAATAATTAATCATAAAGCACTTTGTTGACATGGTTGGATTAAAATTTATTCACCCAAGTCCCACCTCTCAAAACCTCTGGTTTAATGAAGCAAATGTGATCTGCTGTTAATCCTGCTAGCCACTAGTCCTGTGGGTCATCATGGAGCAGGGGTGCATGTTCATTAAAGCTGAGCTCACCCATGACCATAGTTTTCACTTTAATCCTTTAAAAATAAAACTGCAATGGTGGAAAGACACTGGGAACAATCCTTTTTTTTTTTTTTCAGGAAAGGGTTTAGCTGTAGATGTTCTGTCCCCCCAAAAAACAAACAAACGATGAAGCAAATTTATTTGTTGACATTGATAAAATTGTGCTCACTTTGTTTCTTTATGCGTTTTATCTGATCTTGACACTGTTGTTATTGTTGTCAGAAAAGTACGATTACGTTGGGAGGTTGCTGAAGCCTGGAGACGAGCCGTCGGAGTATACAGATGAGGAGGACATCAAGGACCACCTGAAGCATGACTGAGCAGTTTTCATTGCATTAACCAAAGCCAGAAGCCCCCAAACAGCTGTGACAGACTCCCATTAAATTCCCCCCCCCGCCCCTATGAATCAGTCTGGTGCTGCAGCTGTTTGCAACAGGGCCGGACTCAAGTCGTCAGACCTCCCGTCATCGTCCTGCAAAGATTATCAACAGAAAGCAATCAGGAACCTTTAATGAGGAGCTTCTTTTTGTTGCGTGGGAGCATAGATGACTTAGTGCTATTAGATGTTTCTGAAACAAAACCCTAAAATCTTTTCGTCGTTTGTCCGAGTGGGGAAGGTGTTTGTTGGCCGGAGGTCTTTCTACCTTTTGATTTACTCAACTAAAACTGTTCTTCTGTCAAAAATCTCATCAATCAATCATTTCAGTTTGGTTTATTCAGACAGCTTGATGGGCGTTGTCGTGTTCAAAGTGTTCGCACTACAAGTTCTTTTTGTTTGTCACTATGTGATTGTATTTGTTAAAAACCTTGAGGGAAGGTGTGTGTATGTGACAGTATTTGTGTGTTTGTGTGTGTCAGGGGCAGAGGGATGGTAAATACTGATTCCACCGATTTGGAAATCAAAGGTGAGACATCCATTGACTTTTGTTTACATGCCTCACAAGCCAGCTGCAAGTCTGTAGAGTTTTCTGAAAAAGGTCCAAGTATTAATCGTGCCTTATTTAGTTTGTCGTGTCCGCGCTGACCGGTCTGATGGGTGCGTGAAGGGATAGAGATGGTATTTTTTCCCCTAAACCCAGTCTCTTTCTCCCCCATCCCAGATGTTAAATAAGGCATAAGTAGTTTCAGTCCATTAATCCACAGACTGAAGTATTTTCCCACTTTGTAAACTTTGTAAATAATAAATTGCTCAGTGTTACTGCCATATTTATGTAGAAGGAAAAAAAACTCCATGTGTGTAAAACGCTACGTCATATTGGTCAAACCCCCAATTGTTTTTGTTCTTCCCCCTTTAGTTGATTCATTCTTTAGTTTTTTATTTTAATTATTTTAATGTGGGTGAATTTTCACTAAATAAAAGGAAGCATTGCAGAATGCAGCAAGATGGGACTGGGAGCTGATCTTGCTGGGTCCTTTTTTTTTTTTTTTTTTTTTGTAGATATATATCCTGTAAATATACTTGTTTTATTAAAGCATGTGCAACAACAAAGTTAGCTATGCCGAAGTTTCACCATGTTATGTCTGTAAATGATTGTGTGTGTGTGTGTGTATCTGTGTGTGAGAGAGATAGAGCGAGAGTTTGTGTGGAAGAGTCTGGAAGAAATTTGCATAATAAACCTGTTAGGTTAATAATGAAATGTGTCTGAAATGTATTTGCTTTTATTCATGTACTTTATGAAAATTTTATTTTCAGACCTGTTTACCCACAGAATAATGGTTTGGATGCGTTCAAGGACACTAAAGATAAGAACAAACAGTTTTAACACCTGGTATTTGCAACCTGGATTGAAACAAATAATTCAAAGAAAGTTGACTCAAAATTAATGGCAAGTTTGTTGTTAAAATTTCCTTACAGATCTAAAGTGGAACAATAAATTCAAATATTAAGGCAAGTCTGTTGAAATTGTAATCGTGAGCATGGTCACGTGTCTATTAGTAAAATGTTTCCACAACCAATGGGCAGGTGAGGATTTGGAGCGGATTACTTTTTGAATCTGTTAAAGTCAATGGTGGCCATAGCTGATCGACCTTCACGAATACAGAAATGGTTATAACCAGTTTTATAGATGTTTATAAAAAGATTGGTTTGGTGTTATCTGAGAGTTCCAACATTTGTTCCAGCAAGTCCAACAAGATATTCATTTAAAACATTAGCGGTAAATGTTGGGGTCAGCTGCCTGTTGGTAAATATCTCATGAATGAACCACTAGGTGGTTTTAATAAAACTAAAGTATTGGATGTACATTCACTGTTGATGTCAACCTGATTCAAGGTTTTAAGAAGATGCTTTTCATTCAATATTTATTTATACAGGTTAATCTCATTGGGACTCGTTTACAAGAGAGACATGGAAACCCGCTTCAACCCGTTTGTTGTAAAACAGCTTGAAAATGCTACCCCCACCAGAAAATAAATCTGCAAAGATTATATCTGATGAGCCCAGTAAGTAGTATATAATCCTTCTAATTTACCTTTAAATTAAGATTCTGTAACAGGTATTTAAGGAAGAATCCTTTGAAATCTACCACTTTTCTCTGCAGGCTACTGGGAAATCCCTTCATATATTGTAAAGCTTGGATTAATTTCTGTATATAGGGCTGGAATCCCTGATGACATCACCCCAGATTGATAAAATTGAGTTTTCAATTAGGCACTCATAAACAAAAGTAGTTGTTTGTCTGGTGATAAATCACTTTTCAGCAAACTATGGATCATTTTGAAGCTTTTGACGTGTAAAATTTCAAAACATTAAATAAACATTTTTTAAAAATCATTGTGACTCGTTACCAGCCCGGGATTGTCATATTTGTGGTAGTAGCGGAGTCTCACTTCACCATTCCCCAACAACTGCTAGCGATCAAATCACGCGGAATCTCGCGATATCACTTAAACTGCGTTATATTCGGGATTTGACTAAAGCAAGTAATTTTCCAATATAAGATGATCCTAGTTGAAAACTTTGGAACCAACAGCGCCAGGTGGTACACATACAAAAATAATAAGCCTTTAATTGATCGATTATTTTAATTTATTTATGGTTTTAGTCGCTGGTTTTGCTCGCATGGGAAAAAGCACCCTAATCGAATTACAGGCTTACAGCGCCCCCTCTGTCGCTGCGGTTGAACCCGGAACTGCACCCAGGTTAGGCGTTTCATATCGAGCTGCACGGTGGGAGACATTCCTCCGCGGATATTATTATTAATAATAATAATAATAATAAACATTGTTTATTTACAGCCTGACTTTTTGATTCGCTTCACGTAATTTAGCTTGCAACTTCGGTTTTCTGTTCTGCACATCACCAAGGAGCGCAGCGGCAATGGCAGAGCATCTCTCCCAGAGCGAGCTGGACTATCCATTCAAACTTCTGGAGTACTTCAGCGGCTTCAGGGTGTCCAAGGTAGAGTCCACCAGTATGCATCCGCGGGCGATCATGTCTTTGCATGGGTCTAGCAGGGCACGCGTTCGTTTCTGTTAGTAAAATATCTCATGGGCTTTAATGAAAGTCTGAAATTAAAATAGATTTATAAAAAATAACTGATTAATTTCTCAATTCAATATGGCCACCACAGCCAGCTGACCTTAGCGCACGGATAAAAATGGCTTCAGCTCAGTCAGTTTGGTGTGGTAGTAGCTGAGAGTCATCCCCAACGCACAGTCAGAGTGCTTCATATTGTGCAATGACTGTATGAAATATTAGAACTAATTGGCAATTTGAGCAATGTCTGTTAGCAAAATATTTCATTAACCGCTGGATGAATTTAATTATTAGATAGCCAAAAATGATGACCTTAGTGCTAGATTCAAGATGGCAGGTGCTAATCCACCTCATCAAACAGAAAATTGCTACAACTCAATCAATTTTACAGATGTTAATATAAAATTTAATGTGGCACTAGGAGTCACTCCCATACTTTAAGCTTGATATATTTGTTTAAAAGCTTGGCAGTGAGGCAGCGCTAGCGTTTGATCGTACTCGTACGTTAGGCGGGGTACACTGACCTATCATCCAAAACGATAGATGGATGTGCCCCACCTACACATGCAGACATACAGATAGCATCGACCTATCGGGCAGCAGGTGAGATGCATTTCCTCAAGGATACTTGGCCTGTCCCCTTTAAACACAGATTGGAAGTATTTTTTTCTTGGTGTATAAAACACATGTACTCCACTACTTACAAGTTTAAGATTCTGTGTAGACTTTAATAAATACAAATATATAAACATGTATGCATTGCTTAATAAGCGGTTAACTTCACCCTCCACGTATGTAACCTCAGGTGATCTTTTCTGCCTGTGAGCTGGGAGTGTTTGACCTCCTGCTGAGGTCCAGGGAGGCCCTCAGTGCCCGGTTCATGGCCCAGGAGCTCGGCACCAGCGTGGACGGGATGGAGAGGCTGCTGGATGCTCTGGTGGGCATCGAAATTCTGGAGGTGGAGCGGACGGACCAGACAGGTGAAGGGTGAATCCAGAGGTTTTCCCGTTTTCACTACAAATGAATAAATATTGCATAATATGTGCAATTTTTTTTTTCTATTAATAATTTTTAAATGACAAATCCTTCAGCAATGGGGGACATTGATGTATTGCTTGTTATAGCTATTGCCTTAATCTATGTTTCTATGAATTACTATGTTTGAACCTCTTTAGATCTTTATTCACAGTATCTTTGGTAAAGAGATCATTGTTGACTCCATCGTTGTGTCTTGAAGTAAAGCTAAGTTTGTTTTCTCTTCTGTTTTAGAGCTTTATACCGTGGCCCTAAGATGAACAACATTAGAAAAATAGAATTACATTTGAAAATACACAACAAAAACACAACAACATTTGAAAAAAAAAAAAAAGGAATTATATTTTTTAAAAATGGAATCACATTAGAAAAAACAAAATTACATTTGGGAAAAATTTCTACCTGGGTTATTGAGCATGCATCAGGATAAAAAATGGAATCATGTTAGATAAAACAGAATTACATTTGAATAAACAGATTACATTTGAAAATACGGAATTACATTAAGCCAAAGCGGAAGTGGCCGGAATCACATAAGAAAAAAATGGAAATTATTTAAGTTTTGAATGATTCTGGGGTTTTTTTTTATGTGATTTTGGCCACTTCCGCTTTGGCTTAATGTAATTCCGTATTTTCAAATGTAATTCCATTTTTTTTCAAATGTAATTCCATTTTTTTTTCAAATGTAATTCCATTTTTTCTAATGTGATTCAGTTTTTTTCTAATGTGATTCAGTTTTTTCAAATGCTGTTGTGTTTTTGTTGATTTTATTCTGTTTTTGTCAAATGTTCATTTACACCTCAGGGCCACCGTAGCTTTCTGTTTGACTTTGTTTGTTAAACCAGCGTTGTACAGCAGCACCGACGTGGCGAACCTGTACCTGGCCAAGGGAAGTGCAAAATCTCTCCACGACATGATCATCTACCAGTCCCAAACCATCTACCCGCTGTGGAACAACATCGCGGACGCCGTCAGGTCTGTAGAAACAGAAAGCCCATGAAAAGAACCAAACACAGTATCCTCCTTGTGAAGACGAACAGATGTCCTCTGTCATGCAGGGAGGGGAAGAATCAGTACGAAAAGACCTTCGGCCTTCCCTCTGAAGACGTTTTCCAGACTATCTACAGGTTGGTGCTGTGCACAAAGGTCTTACTCTGTGGGTGACATTAATTCATTCTTCTGAAATATGCCCCATAGATCAGAGCAGGAAACGGTCAAATTTATGGGTCTGATGAATTCCTCGTGGGTTCTCGACGGACACGATGTCGTTACGGCGTTCAACCTCTCCTGCTTTCAGAGGATAGTTGATCTGGGAGGTAAGAGGCCGTAAAGCTGCTCACAGACGTGTCCGGTCACCGATGTCCGTAAACGGTTTGTGTTTTCTGAATAATGTCCAGGTTGCACCGGCGCTCTGGCCCATGAGATGGTGAAGGCGTACCCCTCGACCTCCGTCGTCGTCTTTGACCTGCCGGAGGTCGTAGAAGCAGCTCTGAAGCACTTTTCACAAGAGAGCAGCGCTGTTGTGTTTCAAACCGGTGAGCCTCCTCGATCAAAACGTCAAAAAAGTAAAACGTGATTCGCAGTTTTAATCAGATGCCGACTTTAGGAACCACAGATGCACCCATTCCTTCACTCCGGTTCTGCAACACGATCCCAGAAAGGTCTTGGAGCTTTAAAAGTTCCTTTTTGGAACATCTGTAGTCATGAGAGAGAAATTCCACCTTTAGGTGTGTGTTAACACAACGCCAAGGTGGAAAGACATGAGCAGTGACTTCAAATAAACAACTATTGCTGCTCATCAATCTTGGAAAGGTCAAAGGTCATTTAGAGTCCATTGTTCTACAGGGAGAAAGATTATTCACAAGTGGAAAACGTTTAGAACAGCTAAGTCTTCCTAGGAGATTCACCCTGAAGGTCAGACCGTGTAGTGCTCAGAGAAATGAGCTCCACCTCAGACTCTACAGGCTTCAGTCAGCAGGTCAAAGGTCATGCCCTCTTCTCTCTATAAACAACAAGGCAGCATGAACTAAGTTTGGAAAGTTTCATATGAAGGAACCACAAGACTCACAGACCAGAACCAGAGGACAGGTGTTTACCCAGAATGCACTGCAGCAAACAACACCTCCCAGCTGTCAGCATGGTGGTGGAGGGATGATGGTTTGAGCTGCTGTCAGTCACTGAGTGGACCAGGAACTCCTCTGTAGACCAAAGGGTTCTGGAGTCAAATGAATCCATCTAACAGCTGAAGGTTGGACCAAACTGGTTCCAACAGAACCATGATCCCAAACACAGCTGATCTACAACAGAACTTTTTTTTTTAAATAAATAATGAGCCAGAATCTGTGGGGTGTTTTTGTTCTCTGGTGTTCAGAGTTGAATCTTTTTAGAACCTGGTAAGACCAGATCAAATCTGGATTTCTTCGTTCCTCCTGTGTGTTTTCATAAAGCTAACCTTCTCCAACGCAGGAGATTTCTTCAGAGATGAAATCCCTGCTGCTGATCTGTACATCCTGGCCCGGATCATCCACGAGTGGCCCGAGGAGAAGTGCCGGACCTTGCTGAAGAGGATCTATGAAGCCTCCAAGCCCGGTGAGTTGAACGAAGACCGCCGAGTCCATTTCCCACAAGTCTCACTTCAGCTTTCGCCATCGTTGCTCCCATCAGGCGGCGGCGTCCTGCTGGTGGAGGCCATGTTGTTTGAAAACAGGCGAGGTCCCGTCATGGCTCAGATGTTCTCGCTCAACATGCTGGTGCAGGCGGAGGGCCGAGAGCGCTCGCCATCAGAATACGTCCGCATGCTTGACGAGACCGGTTTCCACAACGTTCAGGTCTGCCGGACCGGCAAATCCTACGACGCCATCTTGGCCATGAGATGAGCTGCTGAGCGGGAAACAAAACCAACACTGAGCACAAAATGTTCCAGTTCTGATCTTATTTTTAGAGGATGAGCAGCAGGCGGGCAGTAGCTCTGATTAATGCTCTTTTTATGGTAGATTAGTAGCATATTTTCATGATTTGTTTTTTGTTAAGAATCAAATCAAAACATAAGAATTTATTCATTATTTTGAGATCTACACAGTAATTTACATGATAACTATTGAAAACAAAGATCCTGTAATGCTGAAGATAAAATAAAACCCTTTATACTTTTAAATTTCTGAAAGAAAATCTTTTTATTAGTTACAACCACGTTTTAAATGAGACATGATTAAACGAAAAACATGTTTTTCCAGTTTCCTGCTCGGTCTGTATTTTTATCAAACTCAGCTTGACCTTTATAATAAAGTATATTTAATTTATTATCTTATTTCATTGCAGCAACATCATTTAATCTGTGTGTTAATTTGTTTGCCTGTTAGCAAAATATCTTACGAACCACTGGATGAATTTGAATGAAACTCTCAGGAAGTAATTACTAGATGCATGTCTACATTTGTAGGCACTTCTATTCAAGATGGCCGCATTAGCAAACACAAAAATGCCTTATTCATTTTTACATATGCTGGGATACAGTTTGGTGTGGCAGTAGCTGAGAGTCATCCCCAACACACACACACCATGGAATAAAGATAGTGGGCGACAGGGGCGATTCTAGAATCTGACCTTTAGGGGTGCTTAGCCCCCAGTGCTGACGATAGCTCTTGGTTTGAACAAATTTGTGGCCATTGGCGTCAGAAGCATTCATAATGTGGCAGGGACACGAAAATTTTGAATTGACGTCATTTGCTGCATTCTGGTGTATTTTAACAGGTTGTTAAACATCTGCATTTACCTACATAAGTAAACATTTGATTCAATAACTGTTATAAAGAGCTCGGCACAGCAACAAGTAGCGCTAAGCTAACGGCGTGCAATACAGATGCGCTAGCTAAGATGCTACAGACGTAGCGCTCTGCTTTACATTACACAACCTAATAAACCTTTTGTACAAAATCAGTTTAGTGTTAACTGATCATAACAAATAAAGACTAAATGTATGCAACCAGAAGTCACAAAAATACATACAAAACACACAAAACAAAGCACAACTAGCTTTAAGCATTAACCTTTAATTTAACCATTAAGAAGACAATGTAAATATGACAAAAATCATGGAGGATTTACTTTCAGTTACTTTTGTACAGATGAACATGCGGTACTTCCTGTTTATCACTGTTGTATTCAGCTACTTATGAGGTCGACCGCAGGGATTTATCTATTGCTTATATTTTTCCACTCAGTTTATCTTTTGGAAATGGAATAAACTGTATTCCACCCGCTAAACCCTTAGCAAAAAGTAGCTTATTTAAGTGTACTACACGTATATTTATTTTACACTAAAATTGAGGAAGTGTACTTGAAGTTTACTTTTTATAAACTTTATTTAATATACTTAAAAATAGTAAAAAAAATGTCCCAATTTAGTCCAAACAAGTATTAAATCAGTATACTTTCTAGTACACTACAAGTATGGTGTGTAGTATACTTGATATACTTATACTTAAAAGTATACTTGCAAAAATGAACTTCAAATGTACTACTTTTTGTTAAGGGAAGCTGGACTACTCAACTGCTCAGGGGGGCACAGTTACTGAAAGCCGCAGCTCAGGGGCTGAACATCCAGCAATTAAAATCATTATGTTGTAAATAAACCACAATGACCTGTCACCTTTAAATTTGTTTATTTTGTTGCATTGAATCATAATAAAAACAACCCAAAAAAAAACATGGATGCTGGGTTAAAATTTAGGGGTTTGAGCACCCCCCAAAAGAGGCTAAAGACGCCACTGGCGGCCGGGCGGTATGAATCTCTTTAAGGAATTCCAGGAATGCTTGTTGTTTGTTGCCGTTTAAACCGGCTTCCCGGCAACGTGCTGCCCGAAACTGGTTCTGGAGGATCGTGCTGCCACCAAACGGGGGAAGAGCGCAGCTGCAGTCCAGGCTCGGTCCCCTCCTCACCGGGCCAGTCTCGCGCCGTGTTTGTGTATGTGGAATGCGGGTCAAGCGGAAGTCACTGCAAAGAGAGAGAGAGAAAGAGAGGGGAAAAACAAACTGCGCCTCGCATCAAACTCCAGCGCCGGCTCCGGACTCTGTACGTACCGCACAACTTATTTCGACCTGTTTGACCAATGTTGCATTTGTAACGAGTCGCTCTAGCGAAGCATTTGGACGACTTCGGGTAGCTGTTATGGTAGCACGAGCAGTCCCGCTAGGAGAACGCGACGTCGTCATTTAAAATGGCGCCAAAGATTAACCTGAGCCAGCGCACCGCCTGGTAAACATGCCATCCTGCGCGCTGCTAGTTAGCCGCACAGGTAACAAGTGAACGCTCCCATATTATTTCTCACTTCTCATTCGTGTGTTTACGTCGACCTCTGCGCAGTTTGTTTGCAGTGATACTTGACCCCTAACCTTTGACCGTTAGTTTGCAAGCTGACCGGTTTTTAATGGGGTGCACCGTGGAAGCCATGCTAGCATCGGCGGCTAACGCTAATGCCAGCAAGCAAATAGCTAGCTAAAAGTGTCACATTTTTTATACTGGCGTGCTCGATTATGATGCGAACCGTTTTGTTGAGGCTTATATTTAGTAAAATGGAGTATTTCTTTGATAAACATGTTTAATTTTTTGGCGCCGGGTGTGGGTGGGCCTACAGGTTACATAACAGTGGGGCGTTAGCTATTAGCTAGCTATTCGAAAGTACTGGAAGAAAACGCTGAACATTGATTACGGTTGTTAAAAGTTACGATAATTTCCTTTAAATCCAGCATTACTTTTCCAGGCCATGTTTGAGCATTATCCAACCTCGCAAAGCACGTAGTTATTTGTCAAAAATAGCGGCTATTTATTCGTGCTTGGGGCGTCACTCTAACTAGCTGCTAGCGTATGCTAAGCTAAGGTTTAGCTTAGCATAAGCGAAGTGTTAGCCTATCCTAAGTTGGGAGTTTTTTGTTTGTTTGTTTACTTATTTTATTCAAGCACCTGTCTTGAGTTGTGAGTTCCCGAGTTACCCGACTTCCTAACTTGTTAAGTGCACCGTTATGTTTATGGCAACTAGTTAATGATGCTGCGCGATCACCATGGAAACGTAAATTTGTGCAACATTATAATAATGTTATCACATTGTCATCACTGTATGTTTCCATACAATGGCGAAATTATGGCGTTTCATGTTTTCATGTAAAAACAACCTAAATTCAGTAAAAACATGCCAGTAATCTGTAAAATGAGGGGCTGAACTAGTTTGTAGAACCAGTAGCGCTTGCTTGTTTGTTTACAAGTTGTTTTTTTTCCAAATCATAATTGAATTTAACAAGAGATAGTCCTGTAAAGTTATTATGCAGGATTTAAATATCTGCTACTAACATTTTATGTTCAGTTTATTAATCTTTTTGTTGTTGTAAGCATTTATTTATGCCGCCCTTTTAATTTGGATAAATTATATATATATATATGAAATTTAAAGTTTTTTTATTGACGTTGACAACTTCTGGACATTGAAATTAAGACACCCAGAACATAAACCAATGTTTTTCCTGTGATATAAATTATGTATACAGTTTGTAATTATAAGGATAATGCACAATTAGGAAGTAAATAATATATATATATTAATTTGGTCAGATTTGCACTTTTGTGTCAGTAATTTGTAAAGCTCCAGTTAAAAGATTTTAGAGCTTGTACACAAAACTTATATTTTCTCAAAAACATTGATATTTAATAAAAATAACTAAACATCTTTTGCAGCAGTTATCCTTGATGAAATAAATATCATCAGAGCTCAGCGTATGTGTTGTGGATGACTCTTCTAGCTACTATTGCATCAGATTTTAGCCCATTATTTGTAAAACTAGCTGAGGTCAAACTGTTTTTGTCTTTGCTTGTGTTGATAGCTGTGGTGGCCATCTTGAATTGGGTTAACCCCCTAAAAGCTCAAAACTTGTTTTCAGCCATCCTGATTTGGGTGGGATAGTCCTGGATTTAAGACAAGATAGAACTTTATTGACCCCCGTCCTGCATGAGGAGGGGTGGGACACCCAAATGTCCAGCGTTTGACAAGAGCTGCCTGGACTCATTAAACTGTATAGCTCAAATTATCTCAAAGTTACAGTCGTGCAAAAACGAGCTTTAAAACAAAACGTCATCAGCAACATGCTCGGAATAAAAGATAAACATTTTGTTGTTAAAGTTCAGGTATGTTTATTAATTGATTCAGCCATAAACAATTATTTATTAGGTAGAAAATCTGTTTATTAGATAAAATATTGATTTTTGTGTGCGTGCGTGTATTTGTGGGCAATTTAAATGTCTAAAGGTTTACAGTAAAAGTAAATAATGTAATCTGTAGTTGTTGTGGACATCATTAGTGGACAAATGGTGGATTCTTGATTTGTTGACACAGATGTGTTTGTAGGTTGACTTGTATTTTCTATTTGTGTACTTGTTCTATTTACCTACCTGCTGCAGAGGATACTTTGTGATAAATAGTACAATATCTTATCTTAAAAACCAAAACGTTAATGTGTTCTGATCGTCGTCATCGTCTTACAGATGTGCAACCTGCGAGCGTGACCAAACTTCTGGTCTTCAGAGGAGACGGTGCGCTGGGGGAGCACGCTCAGCCTGTTTGTGTGTCTCGTGGTGAGAGAAAAGGCTGCGTCTGCTGCTCTAGTGCTTATAATTAAACTATAATAACACTAAAAGACAAATATTTATACCACCCACCAGACCAGATTATAACAAAGATGTTTGTCTGTTTAACTTTATAAAAAAAAAAAAATCTCTGAGAGTCAGTTTCAGGTGTTTGTAATTTATTGTAAATATCTGCTCAGTTAAATTCTACATGGTGTTTTAACAACAACAAGGTGTGTGTCTAAAAAATGTCCTAATGTCTAGTTCTGGTCAGATTCCTGAGTTCTTTTAAAAAAAAATTTACTGCTAATCTCAATATTTTTTCAGACTTCTGTCCTTGTAAATTAACGTCCTGTCCTTTTCTTTTTCTCATTTTTTTCTGTGAAGTGCTCCCGCCTCACAGACAAAACACAATGAAGAGAATCCGGCACCCGAGCAGCAGTGATGACTCAGACAATGGAAGTAAGCAAAATTTTGTCTCCTGATCAACAGATTTGAACCTGGTTGGAACAACTTTCACTCTTTTCCTGCCCTGAAAGTGCAGGGCAACAACATAAGTTGATCAAATTAACAATTTGTTATGTAGTGTTTTATTTTTTTAATTTTAAATTGCATTTTATGACTGTGAGGTCCTTCTTATGAAATGTTTTTGCTTTACTTTGTTGCATTGCTCGCATATTTGATGTTCAGGACTGAGACAGACAGAGAGGAAGAAAGGCAGTGATTGGACTCAGATTAAGGGAAAGTCGAGCTTCAGTGTGAGCGCTGTGAGACAGAGTAGGAACAAGAGGCATATTTGGACCTTTAAAGACGTCCTGGAAGGTCAGGTAGATAACAGTCCATAAATTCACCTTTTTTTATCTTTCTATATGCAGTGACTTCAGGAAGTATTCAGATCCCCTTCACGTTATGCTTCATCCTGGTGCTACGCTCGTTCAAACAGAATTTCATACAATTGTATAAATTTATTAAGAAGAAAAAAACTCAAGTCTTACATTTCAAACAAAACTTTAGCTCAGGCGCCCCTCATTTCTATTGATCTCTGCCGAGAGACGTTTCTACACCTCGATTAGACTCCACCTGTAGTGAATTAAACTGACTCGTCCTGGTTTAAAAAGATGCTCATCTCTCTATAGAAGATATTTTATTTCAGAGGTTCCACAGAGCTTATCAGCCTCTGTGCTTGTCAAATAAAGAAGGTTGGCTCGACTGGGACTCTTCTGAAAGGGTTCGCCTGACGGTCCTGCTGACTGAGCTTTAGAGCTCCTGGGTGCAGATGCTACTAACTAAGTTCACTAAGGAAACTATCTTTAGGCCCCATCAAAGTCGATGGACGCCTCTTTTCAGAGCAAAACACTTGAAGGCTGCTTGAAGGATCCAGACTGAGGAACAGGATCCTCTGGTCTGATGTCATGGTGTCAGTTTAAAGCCTTCATCTGGAGGAAACCAGGTGCCGCTCAAGACCTGCCCTTACCATGTCCACAATGAAGCATGGCGGTGGTAACACTATGCTGTGGGGGGTGTTTTCAGCTGCAGGGACTGCAAGTTTTGTCAGGGTTGAGGGAACTGAACAGTGCAAGTACAGAGGTATCTGCAATAAAAAACTGCAGCCGGCCCAAAGGTTCGCCTTTCTGCAGGACAATGACCCCAAAGCTCAGCTGGAGTCCTGATTGAGCCCAATCAAGACCTGAAACTGGTTCCACCAATGAGCCCCACCAGCTGAACACACACAAAATAAATAAAATAAAAGTCAGAAAATCCTCTGATCCAGGCAATGCAAAATTTGTTGCGTCAAACACCCAAAACAAACCGATTGTAAAAATCCTGTTTTTGCATTTGCTGACTAGATTCACGAGTAGCATCAGGCTGGACCGTTCCACTGGAGCTGCTGCGTTTAGAACGCTGGGTTTACCACATTGTTAGAAACGATTGATGCATTTATTTATTTTACACAGAACCGCCTACATGAAGATGGACTGTTTATGTCCATCCTGTCAGAGGTTTGTAACAGAATAAACATCAAGACTAAGTCATTTGGATTTATTGTTATTTTTTTGACTCGCTGAGTTTTTTTCCCTCCTGATTGTTCGGCGTTTTGTGCGCAGCTGCTGACATGTTTGTGACGTTTCTCAGGTAACTCCACCTGCTGGTCCCAGCATTCGTCGGGTCACCGGAGAGGGACTGGACAGAAACCCTCAGAGGTACGTCTGACTTGGTCCCTGCTCGTCACCGTGCGCACTCCTCACCAGAGAAAGTTAGCTGGTTTGTTTTTGACCATCCTCACTCTAAATACGTTTAAGGTTCTGCAAAGAAAATGGACATAGTTCTAGGTTTGGGGCATCAAAAAACATTCGGAGCCAAGAAAATATTAAATATGCGCTTTTGAAAACTCACATCATTCGCCAACCATTTCACAAAACCTATAAAACACAAAATGCTTCTTTTAAGACTGGTTTTACAAACTCAGTCTCGTTGATATGATTAAACACATTCACTTTTTACAAAATCTACACTTGCTTTTCACTTTCCATCGTTTAGTCTAATCCGTACGTTTACAGGAAGTTGTTGGACTCAAAAAGATGGACCAGAAATAAGTGGTTAAATTTGAGTCAAGGCTCAAAACATTTGATTTATTACACAAATTCCCATAAAATCTAAAAAAAAAAAAAAAAATCCTGCGCTACCCGAATAAATAAATTACTGTAAATGTTAGAAAAGCTGAGCCGCTCAAACAGATTACTGAAATTTAAAAACTGATCTGGGTCCAGGTAAGACTTCATTTGGGTCCAGAGATTAGGGAACCCTTCACGTGCACTGCAGGAACATGTTTGTCTTTTTCCCTTCTTTAGTTAAGAAAATATTCATTTTCTGTTGATATTAACAAATGGGAGTAGCGAAACTAAAAGTTCCCACTTCTGATGTACATTGAATGCAGCATGATCTCAGGTGAAACTTGAATTCACCTTTTCTGACAACCACAAACTGTTTTGTCATTTGTTTGTTTTGTAAACAAATTGAAGTCCTGAACTCTCCTCCCGTGCGTGGCAGGTTTTCAGGACCGACCTGATCACGGCCATGAAGGTGCACGACTCGTATCAGCTGAATCCCGAAGACTACTATGTTCTGGCAGACCCGTGGAGGCAGGAGTGGGAGAAAGGTGTCCAAGTCCCAGTCAGCCCCCAGTCTATTCCAGAGCTGGTTGCCAGGTGGGACAAAAACCACAGCTGGTGTCTCTCAGCAGAAGCTAGAACTTTTTTATTTAATCCGAGCCGGGTCAGAATATTAAAGTGGAACCCTTGTTTGTACACGTCTGTCTGCCGGCCAGGGTGCTGGCAGAGAAAGGAAAGGAGGTCATGTTCATCAGGCCAAAGAAGTTGATCCGGACCTCCGGGACCGAGGCGCTTGGCTACGTGGACATCCGGACCCTGGCAGAAGGGATGTGTCGCTACGACCTGAACGAAGAAGACGTGGCGTGGCTGCAGATCATCAACGAGGAGTTTGCAGAGATGGGTGAGTTACTGATCGCACACGCCGGCTGATGAGCCTGAACGTTGTTTTATTCGTCAAAACGTTCGGCTCGTTCAGCAGGTGGCTGCTGCGACTTCTTGTTGTATTCTTTTAAAAACATTTTACTTTATTCACAAACATTTTCCCACCAAATACATAAAAATCTCCTCAGATCCTTCACAAACATTTTTTAAAATCTGCTTCAACAAACTGGTTCTCTTTTTGTCTTTTCTTTTAGCTAGCCCTTTGCTGCTTCTAGCCTATAGCTAGCCTTTGACACTTTTAGCTTCTAGCTAGCATTTCAGCACTTATAGCTACTGTTCTGCTACTGTTAGTTTTTATCTGACTTTTTAATACTTCTAGCTTTTGGCTAGCTCTTTGAAACTTTTAGCTTTTAACTATCCGTTTGCTACTTTAAACTTTTAGCTTCTGAGCTGCCATTTCTAGCTTTAATCTGGCCTTTTGATACTTTTAGGAGGCTTGTTGTTGCTTTTAACTTCCAGCTAACTAATATTTCAAGCGAGACGAAAAATAACATTAGATTTTAGCTAGTCTATTTAAAACTTGAATCTTTTACTGCTTTACATTTCTAGATAGCTTTTGGCTACTGTTAGTTTTTAGCCCATTACAAGTTCAGGCCTTTTGATACTTTAAATTTAGCTAACCTTTTGCTGATGTTAGCTATTAGCTAGCTTTTTTATACTCTCAACAAGCCATGTTATATTTGTGGCTGTTTGATAATATACGGTAGTTTATACTAAAAGCTTTTAGTTAGCCTATTGCTACTTTTAGCTTCTATACATTTTTGCTGCTTTTCTAGCTAGCAGTTCACTACTCTTAGCTATGTTTTTGCAGCTTTTAGCTATTATCTAGCATATTATTTGTGCCACTTATACTTTTTGGTTAGCCTTAAGCCACGTTTAACTTCTGTTCTAGTTTGGCTTTAATAATTATATTTTCGCTTCTTCAACATTGTTCAGCTGGTTTCTTGATTGTCTTGTTTGAACTGAAGAAGTCTTTTGTGTTTGTTTAGGACCTGGCTTGTAAAAATAAATGATTAAAAAAATTAAATATAAAGAATAAATACAAATAAAAAATTGTCTTTGCCTTCTTGTAGCTAAAACTTTTTAGTAACTTAACTAGTCCAAACTCTTAAAAACTTATTAATGATAAATCACTTCCTGTCTCTCCTCGTCCGCAGCCATGCCGCCGCTGGACGAACTCACCATGGAGCGGGTGATGGAGGAGTTCGAGCGCCGTTGCCACGACAACATGGCACACACGGTGGAGACTGAGGAGGGGCTTGGAATCGAGTACGACGAGGACGTGGTGTGTGACGTTTGTCTGTCCCCGGATGGCGAGGACAACAATGAGATGGTGTTCTGCGACAAGTGCAACATCTGCGTCCATCAGGTCAGAACGCTAGACCTGAGAAAGGGAAGCAGGCCACCAGCTAAAAGCTAAAAGGAGCTAATTGGTAGCTAGAATGAGCAACAAAAAACTAAAGGGAGCACAATTATTGCCTAAATACCAAAACATAAACTAAAACACAGAAGTATTTAAAGGATAGCTAATAGATTTAAATGAATATAAACTAAAGGTAGCAAAAAAGATTTTTAAAAATTAAAAGTATGCAAACAAGTGATGGAAACAATAAAACAAAATACCAGATTGGTTTTGATTTCTGTTTGTACTAAAAGTTGGTGTTTTTTTAATTTTTTAAAATTTTATTTTAGGTATAAACTGAAATTTGAACATTTATATTTTATCTTGTATCAGGCCTGTTACGGCATCCAGAAAGTCCCAAAAGGCAGCTGGCTGTGCCGGATCTGTGCGCTCGGCATCCTCCCAAAGTGCCAGCTGTGTCCGAAGAAGGGCGGAGCCATGAAGCCGACCCGAAGCGGGACCAAGTGGGTCCACGTCAGCTGCGCCTTGTGGATCCCAGAGGTACTGACCGGTCCAGCTTGTTTGGACTTTCTGCTCAATCACCTTCACCTTCAAGTTTTGTAACTTGTTGGCCAAACAATGTTCACATGTGACTAACGCCACCTGTCGTGTCTCAAACTTGCCGTCCAGGTGAGCATCGGGAATCCAGAGAAAATGGAGCCCATCACCAACGTGTCCCACATCCCCAGCAACAGGTGGGCCCTGATCTGCTGCCTGTGCAAAGAGAAGACAGGAGCCTGCATCCAGGTTTGGCTACTGCACACACACAATAAAGGCTCTCCTTTATGTTCGGCAGGTGTGCAGTTTGACCTCAAGTGGACAAAATGGCACTGATATGTTGTTTGCTGCAGTGCATTCTGGGTAAACATCTGCCCTCTGGTCTGGTTCTGGTCCAGAAGTCTTGTGGTCCTTACAGATGAAACTTTCCAAACCTAAGTCGAGCTGCCATGTTGTTTTTAGAGGAGAGAGTTCATGACCTTTAACCTGCTAACTGAGGCCTGTAGAGTCTGAGGTGCTCATTTCTTTTGAGCACTGCACGGTCTGACCTTCAGGGTGAATCTCCTGTAAGATTGTCAGCCGCCTTAAATGTTTTTTACTTGTGAATAATATATCTCTGTAGAACTATGGATTCCAGATGACCTTTGACCCTCCCCAGATTGAAGGGCAGCAGTAGCTGCTTCTCTGAGGTCATTGCTGATGTCTTTCCATCTTGGCGTTGTATTAGCATACACCTGAACGCTCCAGATTAACTTAATTTGTTTCCATTTTGGTTTTGTTCTATAAATACCAACACAATGGAACCTGTTGTGTGTTTTCGTTCCCTTGCTGTCACTTTAAGGTTAGTTTTGTTTAAACTGTCGGTTTTTTAACACGTTTTGCTGTTAAACAATCTGATAATGTAGAAGTCAAATTTCAAAATAACTCAATTGTCTGAGCTGTCGTGATCATTGTAGTAGTTAGTCGTTTGAAATCCTCTCTGACATCGATTTCTAACTAGTCGTTAGCTCTTTTATGCTAATTTCTCTCTGATTCCGTAAATTTAAATTGTTCTGACAGTCGTGTACCGTGGGTCTAAACCCATGGAGGGATTAAATTATTTTTATTTTGTTTAGGATTTTTAAACTTTTTGTGTGTTTCCGTCTCCAGTGCTCTGCGAAAAACTGCCGAACTGCTTTCCACGTGACGTGCGGCCTCCACGCCAGCCTGGAAATGAGCACGGTGCTCACGGAGGACGACGAGGTGAAGTTCAAGTCGTTCTGCCCCAAACACTCCGGGATCGAAGGAACCGAGCCCAGTGGCAAAGACCCAGGATCCGAGAGGGGAAGTCCCAGAGAGAAGAAACGGTGGACAGCCGGCGAGCAGGAGGAGCTCAGCAACCAGCAGCAGGAGAAAAGAGTCAACCTCCGCAAGATGAAGCTCCAGGAGATGGAGGAGGAGTTCTACCAGTTCGTGGAGGTGGAGGAGGTGGCCAAACACCTGAAGCTCTCCCTGGAGGTGGTGGACTTCCTTTACCAGTACTGGAAACTGAAACGCAAAGCCAGCTTCAACCAGCCGCTCCTCGTGCCCAAAAAGGACGAGGAGGAGAGCCTGGCGCGCCGCGAGCAGGAGGTGCTCCTGCGACGCCTGCAGCTCTTCACCCACCTCCGCCAGGACCTGGAGAGGGTAGGTTTCTCCCAGACGGAGGTTCGGAGGAGCTCGGGGAGGAGCTGAGGCAGAGAGTGCTCCAGAAACAATAAATCCTAGAACAAACAGAGGCTGTGTTTGTTTTAGACAGTTTTAAAAAGTGACGAGACGTGAATCTAGAACAACTGGGATTAAACCATTAACCAGTTTAACAACAAACACTTAGGTTCACCTTAGCTGTGCTACATAATATATATCTAAGGCTCTGAATGATAATTGTTTTTCAGAAGTGTTGCAGCTTCAGTCACCTCTAATCCAGGTGAAGCTTGAGGTCGACCACGAGCAGTTGTCTCGGTCAACGAGCTTCTCGCTCGCTCTTCTCGGCAGAATTGGTCGGGTTCATTAGAATCGATTGGGTTCTTGTGATCAGAGTCCACAAGTCATCAATTGGGTCGACATCAGGGGCTTAGGGGAGGCCGATCCAGAAACTTCATGTGAACCTGATTTGTCCAATCAGAAACCAGTTCTGATATGTTGAGTATCATTGTCCTGTTGGACCCATCTGTGTCAAAGTTTCACCTAGCTAGCTCCAGGTTGTGGGTCCAGAGCCGTAGGTTACAGACCCTTGGGCCAGCCATAGTTCTCGGCCTGTTTTTATGCCAGTGTTTCTCCTACCATTATACAAGCAGGGAGCCCCATCAACAGAACCAAGCGCCCCACTTACCGAATCAAGCTGCATGTGCAAACACCCCCACCCTCGTTGGCACAGACGTAGCGTTAAGCTAGCGGCACGCAATACAGGCATGTTATCTAAAAAGCTAAAGGCAGTCTAAAACTGCCCGTTTGCCTTCCTGTGGGCCCACCACCTGCAGGAGGGTCCATATGAGTCAGGTGCACGACGCCATGGCTGAAGGCGGGGACCTTAGCTCTCTGACCCTGGCTTACCAAAGCTGGTTCTTGGGACATGGAATGTGACCTCTCTGGTGGGGAAGGGGCCTGAGCTTGTGCGTGAGGTTGAGAGGTACCGACTAGATATAGTTGGACTCACCTTGATGCACAGCGTGGGCTCTGGTACTGATCCCCTTGGGAGGGGCTGGACCTTATTCCACTCTGGAGTTGCCCATGTCGAGAGGCACCGAGCTGGTGTGGGTCTACTCTTAGCCCTCTGTCTTGGTGCCTGTGTGTTGGAGTTTTCCCCAGTAGATGAGAGGGTGGTTTCTTTGCTCCTTGGGGTGGGGACGGGCTCTGACTATTGTTTGTGCCTACGCGCCAAACGACAATTCAAAGTATCCAGCCTTCTTGGAGTTCTTAGCCGGGGTGCTGGAAGGTGCTCTAGCTGGGGACTCCTTTATTCTGCTGGGGGACTTCAATGCCCATGTGGGTAACAACAGTGTGACCTGGAAGGGTGTGACTGGGAGGAACGCTCTCCGACCTGAACTCAAGCGATGTTCTGTTGTTAGACTTCTGCGCTAGTCACAGTTTGTCCATCGCAAACACCATGTTTGAACATAAGGGTGTCCATAAGTGCACTTGGCACCAGGACGCCATAGGTCGTAGATCGATGATTGACTTTGTAGTCATGACTCATGTCATCTGATCTGCGGTTGTTTGTTTTGGACTCTCGGGTGAAGAGAGGAGCTGAGCTGTCAACTGATCACCCTCTATTAGTGAGTTAGATCAGATGGTGGGGTAAGATGTCGGACAGACCCAGTAGACCCAAACGTTTAGTGAGGGTTTGCTGGGAAAGCCTGGCAGAAGACCCATCAGAAAAATCTTCAACTTACACCTCCAGGAGAGCTTTAACCATATCCCAGTTCAGGTGGGGGGACATTGAGTCCTAGTGGGCCATGTTCTGCTCCTCAATTGTTGAAGTAGCTGTCTTGAGCTGTAGCCGCATCAGTGCTTCTCGCGGTGGTCATCCACGAACTCAGTGGTGGACATCTTGGGTTAGAGAGGCTGTCAAGCTGAAGGAGTCCTGTCGGGCCTTGTTGGCCAGTGGGACTCAGGAGGCAGCTGAGGAGTACCGGAGGGCCAAGCGGTCTGCAGCCTTGCCTGTTGCTGAGGCAAAAGTTCGGATGTGGGAGGAGTTCAATAAGGCCCTGGATAAAGACCCTCAGTCGGCTCTGAGGAGATTCTGGCAAACCATCAGGCGGCTCAGGAGAGGAAAGCAGCTCTTTACCAACACTGTGTTCAGTGAAGGTGGGGTGCTGTTGACCTCAACCAGTGATGTCGTCGGGAGGTGGAAGGAATACTTCTCAGACCTTCTCAATCTCACCAGCACTTCTTCCATGGAGGAAGCTGAGTCGGGGGACTTTGGGGTTGATCCATCCATAACTGTGGCTGAAGTCACCGAGGTAGTTAAAAAGCTCTGAGGCAGCAGGGCTCTGGGAGGGGATGAGATTTACCCTGATTTCCTTGAGGCTCTGGATGTAGTGGGGCTGTCTTGGTTGACGCACCTTTGCAACGTCGCATGGTCACAAGCTCAGGGTAGTGACCAAAAGAATGAGATCATGGATACAGGCGGTTGAAATGAGTTTCCTCTGCAGGGTAGTTGGACTCTCCCTTAGAGATAAGGTGATTTTGAACTTCTCACCTTAGGGTGAGAAGTTCAGTTATCAGGGAGAGACTCGGAGTAGAACCACTGCTCCTCCACATCAAGAGGAGGCAGTTGAGATGGTTCGGGCATCTTGTAAGGATGCCCCCTGGGCACCTCCCTAGGGAGGTGTTTCGGGCATGGCTGACTGGGAGGAGACCCCGGGGACATGCTGGAGAGACTGTCTCTCAGTTGGCCTGGGAACTTCTTAGAGTCCTCCCAGAAGAGCTGGAAGAGGTGGCTGTGGAAAGAGATGTCTGGATCTCCCTGCTCCAGCTGCTGCCCCCCCGACCCAGAGAAGATGATGCATGGATATGAGCACCCCTCCATGGCAAGTTATTTAGGGGAAACACTGTATTCCATCCACTTCATTACCACAGCATGGTGATACCAACGCCATGCCTGACGGCACTTTGACTTCTCGTCTTTGTGTCCAAACTGCTCTGTCTCTTCTGACGTCAAACTTTCCTCCAGGAGACATTTGGCTCTTCCATAGTCCCTTAAGGCGTCTTTTGAAACTCGGTCCTCTTGGTCTATGGTGATGTCAACCGGTCTTTACTGTACGTTCCAGTTCATGGCAGCTCTTAGATCCTGAACACCTGAACCAGTTCCCTTCCATCTGAGGAGGACACTCTGGGTCTTCTTCCATGCTAACGTGGAGACATGTCTATATAACTTATATTTAATTTAAAGTGACGGTGTTGAATCTAAATACAACTCTCTGCAAATCTTCACCAAGTTCCTTGGCCTTCAGACAAGCAAATCCTTTAACTGCTGGAAAAGAGAAACCACCAGCTGCAGTCAGTCAGTCGTGGTCACTAACAGGAAGTTGTGGAGTTTCACTGAGTTTCGACCTTCTCGACCCCTCAGAAGAACAGATTTAGAGGCTGTGTATGATTAGATTAGAGAAGACCTGCATAAGTTTAAACGCTTCAGGCTTTCAGTTGTCCAAAGTCTTTGGACACCCTCAAAGTCAAACTTCTGACTCAGAACATGGGAGGAACCTCATAAACTTCACGTTCGTTGTTTTTTGTTCACATAAAGATACGCTAAAAAGTTTGAGTGTGTTTTATGTCGTAAACCAGAGATGTCCAGCAACGTGAAAGACTTAACAGAAAAAAAAACAAAGCAGTGTCTCGTGTGTCCCCTCAGGTCCGTAACCTGACCTACATGGTGACCCGGAGGGAGAAGATGAAGCGGTCTCTGTGTAAAATCCACGAGCAGATCTTTCAGCACCAGATCCGGCTGCTGGACCACGAGCTGCTCAATGGTGAGTTGAGACGTCGGAAGACGCCACACACCTTTGTTTGACTTGGTACTGAAGCTGCACGTCTCTGGCTTTTGTTTCAGGTGATCCCTCAGAGAAGGACCTGGAGAAGCTCTTCTCCCTCGGCTGGTTGTCCTCACCGGCCACAGAGTCCGGGTCCACACTGAGCCACTCTGGACTAAAATCCAAAAGAGGGTCAGTGAAGCAGAAGAGACAGAAAAGCAGCGACGCAAAAAGCCCGCCGGACTCTACGCTCTCCGACAAGAAGCCGCCGGAGACGAAGGACCTGAAGGGTCCCCAAACCCCGGAGCCTGTAGGACCCGCGGGCGACGTCAAAGTCCACAAGTCTCACATGAGGCTCCAGATCTTCCTCCCAAAGCTCCAGAAGACAGAGATGGTTCTGGGAGCTTCCACCTTCAAGCTGCTCCAACCTGAGAGCACAAAAGTCCCGAGACGAGACTCGTCGGGACGGGAGAACGAGGAGCTGGTGAGACGGAGAGACGAGCAGGAGGAGAGGGGGGGGAGGAAAGACGAGCAGGAGGAGAGGGGGAGGAGGAAAGA